TGTAATGCAGTTGTAAATCTGTATATGCACTCCCATACATTTATATATATATCTATCTGCATGCTATTAATTAATTACTATTTGAAGCTTAGATCATGTGAATATTTCCGTAAGATCGAAGAGAGGATATTGAAATTTTTATGATATTCCTTTGAACTGCAGCGAAATGCAGGCTGATTTGTATTGAATACGTGGGCGGTAAACAGGTGCCTCCCGCCTCCTGGTGGGCGTTGAAGAAACTGTAAAAGAAGCGGGAATGAAGCAGAAAACGTGGATGACTGACTGTTCTCATGTAGAATAATTTCATTTAAAGCATTAAAATTTTTAAAAATTATAAAGATTGAAATTATATTTTGATTTCAGGTAGGGACGGAAGCGTGAAGAACAATGACAATAAAAATAATTGCCGTAGAAACTAACAAGAACAGCATTAATGAAAACTGCAATGATGATCATGTTCGCAATAATAATAATAATAATAATAATAATAATAATAATAATAATTTAAAAGACTTCAGAAACAATTCTGCTGCAAAAAATAAATATTTAGCATTATCCAATATTTCTTTATCACAACCATTAAAAAGAGGTCGTAAGAATAAAATTAATGCATCTCTAACTAAAGAATAAAAAAATAGCAACATCGAAAAACTAAATATTTTCTCTTATACAAATAAGACATAATTTGAATTATTGAAGTCCCTTGTAGATTAGATAGTAACTCCAGCAGAATAGATAAAACTATAATCCTCGATTACAAGCCATAAACAAAATCAACTTGTTTTTATTTTATTTTCTTATAAATATTCGCAAAAATCTCTTTATTTTAACCTAATTGATTTTTTCCAAATTAAGTTTGATGAGAGGATATAACAATGCTATTATAGATTTTTTTAATACACATCTCGTTGATGTAGCTAAGCATTACAAACCTTCACATATAGAGTTACAAAATTTTTCGATTGTCAAAAAAAAAAAAAAACTGACGAAAAGTGAGTTTTTATTACAGGTCGGTTTCAATGCAAGCCATAATAATACTCTTACAATTTTCAAAAAGATTTCCTTTTTAGATACTAAATCTCTTTAAGAATAGCAAGAATGAGAAAAGCGTTTTCATCACTAGTTCAAAAAAGGTAATATAAATAAATTTAAGCGAGAAAACATTTTATTTGCATCTAGTTGTGAAGAGAAATTCTCGTAAAAAATTGATTATACACACACACACACACACACATATATATATGTGTGTGTGTGTGTGTGTGTGTATAGAGAGAGGTAGATAGATATCTAGAGAGAGAGACAGAGAGAGAGAGAGAGAAAAGTAATGTCAATATATGAATTCTCATTGCATTATTACTGCCAGGTTCACACAATATTCAAACCAATGCATATGCATTTATACATTCCTATATATTGATACAAATGTACAAACCAGAAAAGTATATTAAAATTATATTACATGTATACTATATTTTATACAAACATTTAATTCCCTGCATATATATATATATATCTGTGTGTGTGTGTCATTTTTATATAATAAAGAAAATATATATATATATATATATATATATATATATATATATATATTATGAGTATAAATTTTAGCTCTGTTATTATACATCGAGCACTTCTTTATAAACAACACCATACAATCCTTTTACACACACACACACACACACATATATATATATAATATATATATGTATATATACATATATATATGTATATCCTGCTGATATGTGTTCTTAATTACACGACTCACCATATATATATATATATATATATATATATATATATACATCACAAAAATATCATATCGTAGTTTATTTTGCGTTGAAATGAGATAAATATTATTGTGTATAATTTAGACCACTAAGTGTCACAAATTCACACATGCATATACTCAAGCATGCATATTTTGTACCTGTGTATATATATATATATGTGTGTGTGTGTGTGTGTGTGTGTGTGTGTGTGTGTGTGTGTGTGTGTGTGTGTGTGTGTGTGTGTGAAAAGTGTATATAAATATAAATAAATATAAGTATGTATAATTATTTATATATTTATATACGCGGTACTTATTAGAAAGCGCTCAATATCAGAGGTAGAGCTAACATATTTGGTTGGATATGTTTTGTGACCCTAGGTTTCACCCTTTAGCGATCGTCAGCGTGAAACCCAGGGTCACAAACTCACATCTATCAACCAAATATATATATATATATATATATATATATATATATATATATATATATATGTATGTGTGTGTGCGTGTGTGTGTATATATATATATACATATATATGGATGAATATATATATATATATGTGTGTGTGTGTGCCCGCGTGTATATGTGTGTGTTTTTGTGCGTGTATGTGTGCATGTGCTTGCATGGATGAATATAAAGGGACACTGATGTCAACTATCGCTGCTTGATATCTATCTATCTATCTATCTATCTATCTATCTATCTATATATATATATATATATATATATATATATAAAATGATAATGTGTATATTAGAATGTGTTATAAAATTAATTTCTGATGTCACAAGATATATATATATATATATATATAAAGAGAAAGAGAGAGAGAGAGAGAGAGAGAGAGAGAGAGTGTGTGTGTGTGTGTGTGTGTGTGTGTGTGTGTGTGTGTGTGTGTGTGTGTGTGTGTGTGTGTGTGAATAAATCCATTGAATTGCAAGTAATCAATTTCAATGTTGGCTGTATTCCAGTTTTTAAGACCAAACTTAAGGCCTCTTGGTTTTTGTTTCTTTTCCGATAGCCGACTTGCTAATATTAGATAACATTTTATAATAAACGTTAATTTATGCACTAAATTTTGGCTGTCATTTGATTACGATTAAAAATTCGCTGTCTCTGCAAAATGCACAATCCTAGAACACTATGATACTATTATTATTCACAAATACAAATACTCATGTAAATCTTCACACACGCACAAATGCACACACAAAGGCATATTCAAAATTTAAGCATATATGTAACTTCACTGTTTGGGCATTGAAATGAGTAAAAATAGCATCCTCCCCCTGTTTAATTTAACCTTCCATACAGAAGATAATGAAGACACGTAAGTGGTTCGAATTCGGCTACTGACGTTTCTTGTTCTCTTATTTTTTTGTTACGCACCATAATCTTCCCCGGATTATAATTTTACAAATAGAAAATAAATTTTGAAATACATGTTTAACATTAATATAAAAATATTTCCTGTCCGATATCGCAAATCAGTTTTCAAATTTAATTGTGGCTGGTGTTGAAAGTATATGATGCCATATACTTCCACTCCATGTCAAATACCCAAGGCGTCTGTGCAGTAGTAAAATCGATTGGATATTGTGGGAATCAGTAAAATTAAAACAGAATGTCTTAATTTTGTTTTTGTGAGCAGGATAGATTTCATAGAAAACTATTAAAAATATATGTAATTAAATTTGAGGAAAGAGGAAAAGTTAAACAGAAAGAGATAGAAATAACCTAAGAAGACTTCTTCATCATCCTCATAAACATTAAACATGAACTACTTTAAGTAGTCATTTATATCATTGTAGAATCTGCCCGCAATAGAATCTACGATAAAGTAATATTTATCTGCGATAAAGAAGGACTTAGTTACATGACGGTTACAAAGTGGGCAGCACTTTTATTTCATATATGTTGAGATAGTCAACTTCATATTTACATGAGAGATTAGTTTATATCTACAATGAAAAATTCGTCCGTTTTATTAAATCTCCCACAAAGCTCGGCATGAGTAACCAATTACAGATTCCAGCCTGTACTACAAACTTATGTTCAAAAATGTAAGCCTAATATTCACTCAAGACAGCAGAAACTACTACAAGAAATACATTTGTAACACAAATGTTATGAAAGATCAACTTCATTTATACTCACCTTCAGGCTTCTTCACCCACTTTGAAAACATTTCCATAACCTCAGCTTAGAAGTTTTCAAATTAACCAAATTTCCCGCCAAACTGCAACTTCTCAGTTTGGTAAAAACATGTTAAGAAACAGGCAATTAAATTAAGAAATTAAAGATTTTATGTAAAAGAATATATATATATATATATATATATATATATATATATATATATATATATATATATATATATATATATGTATGTATGTATTCTCTAACAATATCTATGTCACTCCTACAAACGTGCGTGCATATGTAAATATAAAAATCGAAATCAATCTATATAAACAATCTTTAATATTCAACCTGTTCTCTACTTAAAGTTTTAAAGCAACATTTCATTTTTTTTCTCCAATCTTGTTATAACGACAAAAACGTTCATAAATTGTAAATTTTAAAAAATCACATATATACACACCTGTCTGTTAATTTAATATTTTACTTATCCTTTCAGTACATTGACGATCATAACTCTTCACAGATTTGTGTTTCTTTATTATCTGTGTGATATTTTAGGATTCTAGTAGTTACTAGTTGTCTTTACCACGATTTTGAATTCAGAGTCGTCCTTATCCTGGACTGAGAGCCACCCAAGCCTAAAGAATCCAAAGCGAACAAAGCAGACGAGGCCAGGCGTTTATAACCGGTACGCTGTCCTAACAGTCTCTTAAATGCGGGTTCCATTGTCCTTAAAACTGTGTTTCCATAAAGTATAAATGAAAATATTAGATTATGTCAAATAGTGTATGTGTTCGTTTATGAAACTTACTGTCGATCTGTCATATTTGATGTGTTAGATATATCAATATTTTCTCTAACTGATGCGTTATCCCATCGTATTTTAGTTTGGCAGCAAGTTTTCAGTGTGAGAAGAAATGCAAATCCGGTTTGCTAAGAAATCACTTGTATCCCTAAAGACTACTGTTTTATTAGGTTGCAATAAACGTATTTGTCGATGTCATGAGCAAAATTTAGTGGTAAGATCAGAATATGATCCATGGCCTTGATTAACGAGAAACTTATTTTTGCTTACATTTCTCAAGTTAGTACATCACCTTTCTATTATCTTTCTCATTCTCATTCTCTTTCTCTCTCTCTCTCTTTCTCTCTTTCTCTTTCTCTTTCTCTTTCTCTCTCTCTCTTGCCAACATGAATTTTCTTCCTTTTATTTACCTACCTCAGTCTCTCCCCCTTATTTATTCATTTTACGTTATTTACTCTCTGTTTCCTTTTGTTACACTGTATAGGAGGCCTTAATGGTTTCAAGTCCAGTGAATATCTTTGTCGAGATAGTCGGACATCTGAGCCAAACCTTATATTCGTGTCTTAGGGAAAAGCAGGAAGTTCCGAAACCAACATTTAAACATCCGCACTCTCTCATCAGCTTCACCTCTTAGCAGTTCATGCATATTGAGGTGCTAGGAAAAATCTGTTATACCAAACTTTATTTCTCATACTTTTCTCTTAATGTTTATTTCTCTAAATATTCTTTTAACTCAGGTTAACTCTAAACTCATTTTATTCTCTTTCCACGCATGTATTATTTTCGCTTTGAATGACATCAGACTTTAAATAACTTTTTTAAATAAATTTTATTTTTATTTCTAATGCATCACTATATAGTGCTCATCTCTCTTTCTTCCTGTATTTTCATTCATACGTGTCAAGAAGCTTAAATTATATATATATATATATATATATATATATTTGTGTGTGTGTCTGTGTGTGTGGGGGGGTGTTTGTATGTATGTATGTATGTATGATTTAGGCATGTAAGTGTTTATGTCTGCCTGCATTTATGTATTCAAAGTAAAGAGTAGAGATTTTGATTACTAATTTTATAGATTGATTTTTTCTTTCCTTCTATTTATCTATTGCACTACATATACAAGGTTGTCATAAAAAGTCCTCGGCCCGACCAAAAAGGATTTCAGAATAAATTCTCATGTTTATAAATATTTTTTAAACTTGTTCAGATCAGGTATTTTTCAGTCACACGTCGTGTACACGCACAGGCACACACACACACACACACACACACACACACACACACATATATATATATATATATATATATATATATATATATATATATATATATAGAGAGAGAGAGAGAGAGAGAGAGGAGAGATAAGGTACATCAATAAGTATGTAGCCTACTTCTGAAAGCATGTATATGACACAACCAATATTTGTTTTTTTTCCAGTTATTCTCATCCTTTCTTAATGCACTTGATAATTCAGTAGTAATCCCATCGAGCAAACATTTACAGTGAAAATTTCTGGTCATAATTCAAGCAAACAACTACGTGTAAATCGCAGGACAATGATTTACTCTCATATATATATATATATATATATATATATATATATATATATATATATATATATATATATATATATGAAATAAATATATACAGGAAATATTAAATAAGAAAGTATAAGAACACGTAGTGATAAATCTGAAGGCTTTATACACGATATATTTTATGCGTACGTGAGTTTAAATTTATGGAAAATCGTATCATTATATACAAATTATGTATGCCTCCGAAAAGTGTATTATTATTATTATTAATAATATTACTGAAAATAATTGATTCATGTATTTTTTATATTATTCTGAAACATTTTTAAATCGTTTATCATAAATTATGAGTATATATTGTCTTATTATAAATACTTAATATATATTAATATGAGCATATGCTATATTTTTTATGAGTATATATTATATCATAAATATATAATATATATTAATATGATCATATTATATTATGAGTGTATATCGTATTATTATGAGTATATATTGTATTATTTTGAGTATACATTATATTAATATGTTTATATATTATTATGATAATATTTTACACGTATGCTATTAATTTGAATAGATCTTTTTCATTAATCGTAACATGATGAATTTATTTATTTCATAGTTTTTCATATTTAATACTTGTAATAACAGAACTGTAAATAGGAATGCTAATTTTTAATTTTATCAAAGTAAAACGTGACTTATTTTACTATTAGCGAAAAATCTTAGATGAAAACGTCTTGAAATGAAAAGAAAAAAATTGAAAAAGGATAATTAAAAGGAAAAAAACTACATTTAAATTTACTGAACAATTTTTGTATAATTTGAATAAGTACGTTTTCATTTCAAACATGAAACTTTTCCATCTCATAATTCCCACAATAATTTACGAATTTAAATGTTCTTCTCACACAGAATTTGATTAATTGTTTCACTTTCTAAAATAACCTTTCTTTGAAAGAATTTAACTGATAATAAGAAAAGTCTATTCAAATAATATATGAGAAATTATGTAAAATATTTGAAAAACGAAACTTTTTAATATTCCTTCTTTTTTTCAAACATTCCCAGGTAACTGTTATCTAATTGTCGTAGAAGAACATGTCGATGTTGTTTGGGACCATTCAGCTATCTCTTAACTCGCACAGATGTGAAATCTTTTCCCAAATATTTACCCGTTACGTCAAGTCACGCTTCTGATTAATCCTAAGTTAGAAAAAAACGGTATTTATTATAAACAATAATTATACAGTCTATCAAATTTATTATTACATATGCAGGCATATATTTGCATGCACGTGCGCATACACCATGTATTTCGAACTGAAAATTTTCTTTGAAAGTCTGTTTCGGTTCTTTTTCCTCCTCTTTCCATGTCATCATCTGCTTTACTTTCCTTTTCTCCTCCTTGCATTTTCTACCCCCACCCCACTCTTCTTTTCATATAGTTCATCTTCCTTATGTGAGTCACGTGTCATGCTACGTCATCGCAAAGATGGAACGAAAAGAAAGAGATCTCATCGGTAAGGGCCAGTTTACTCAAACTCTCGTGTTGCGAAGCAGCGAGACTGGATGGTCGATTTGAAAAGTAGAAACAACTAAAAACAAATCAATGGAGTTTAGAATTTTAAAGAAGAACAAGGAATTTTTTTTTAATTATTATTTTTTTGCAACATGTTTCTTCGAAATTCTTTTTACGAGATGTTTCAAGTTGGAATTTTGCATATTGGACATATTCTATAGTTCACAAATATTTAATAAAAAAAAAGAACAGAAGAAAATATTTAATGCGAAATAAGAAAAAAAAAAGCTGAAATGAATCATTTTAAAAGAAAAGCAAAATATTTTAAAATATATTTTATGCTTTTTTTGTTATTTTTACTTATTACTTTAATGAATACTTCCACGTGGAATTTATGTTTGTCGGATGTGTTTTCTATTAAAAGAATCAATGCAACCAACCGAAAATGTCTAATCAAGGAGGAAGAAATAACAAATATGGAAACTATTTCAAATATATATTTTAATTATTTTCTTCTAAAATCTTTTTCAACTCAAGAAACTACTGTCGGACGCTATTTTTACAAAGTGGAAGATTTTTCTGACAAAATAAGTTCTACCGAATTGGAGTCAAATGTCTGCATAAGAAAAGTTTTTAAAATGCTGTTTTCTACCCACGAAATTTGCATACTTGGAATATTTCATCATCAAACACAATTTATATGAAAACTTACTTGTATCAAGTAATATTCCGGACCAAATGCTCAAAAACAGTGTTAGAAAAAGAAAACGTATTAAAAGTTTGATGAATGTTTCTTTTATATATTTTCTTCTTAGTTTTATATTGATCTGTTTTCCGCAAGTTCACATTAATGAATTCTAAGCCGGATTTTTATTTAATGCATTTGAAATAACACAGAAACCTGCAAACTTTACAAGAAAACATTAGCGAGAACTTGAAAATCTTTTGATTCCAACAATCAAACATTGCTTTCTTTCATTATTTTACTCTCTGTATTGGATTTGGGTTGCCATATGGTCTTCTTTTCAGGGCGCTATACATCCCGATTTGTTTTCGTTTTTTAAGAGCCAATTTGTTTTTATTTTGGATAATTAAAACGGTCATGACTGAATTAATTTTTAGGATAAATTCACACAAGCTCTGATACTTTCAGATATGCATACACAAGAAGCACACATAGAAGGAACTTGTTACCTTACTTTCTCTTAGTTTCAGAGTCATTTGCATGTTCATAACATTTCTAAATTGCTTCATTGATGGACCATCTGAATACCGGACCACCGAATACCGGACCACCGATCACTATTCGAATCTATGTAATCAATATAGGATTTCGATGTTTTCATTAATTACTGCATTTTTATTAATTACATATTAGAGTGAGATATGGCAATTTTAAATAGAATTGCTTCGTTATCCAGAGCGAACCTGTAATTGTGTATTCACCTGCAATGATTTGTCGGCTATTTCACGTTTACCTCAGAAGGAAAACTAATTAAATTTTTCAAGCTTCTTTCTAGTCGAATTCATTTCAATGTGTTTAAAAAAAGAAATTTATCATTCATTCTTATTGAATTATTATTTAAATAATAGTATTATTTTCTTTTCAAAATGAAAATAACTTTAACCTTAACAAGTTTTATGATTATATTTGGCTCCAAGTTGTCTTAGAGTTGTAGTACATATGCTGTCTAAAAGGTCAAACTGAGTTTCCAAAATACTTTTTCAATGTGAAAAATGTTTTTCCTATTATAGAACTTTATTTTTTAACCGGATTTAATATTAGTCTTAACAATCTGTTTCTTTCTTGTCTCCATCGGAGAAAATAGTAAACTGGTTAATAATTTCAACGTCACTTGAATAAGTCAACATTAAACGATTAAAATTAGAAAGCCTAAGGAAAGCGCCTTCGTCTTTTATGGTGATGCCCTTTGTTATATGTTCTCAAACCGAATTATATACTTACTTATATCTTAGAATTATTTATGCATCCATCCACACACACACACACACACAGATATATATATATATATATATATATATATATATATATATATATATATATATATATATATATATATATATATATATATATTGACAAAACGTACATGTATATTGTTAAACGTACATTAATTACATACGTTTCTGTGAACCTGTTTTTGTTCTTGCTTACCTATATCGATATGATTATGAAAGTATGCATCATCTGTCTTACAATTTGGTTAGCAAACATCTCCTATGAGTATGAATGATTTTGATACCACTGACCAGAACTTCACCTACTTTTAAGAGGCTGATTCTTTTGGAAACATAGATTTCTAGTATCATTTGCAATTAATGTTATGATATGTTTTAAAATATCCAAAGTCAAATTTTGTAGTTTCAGTATGAGCACATTGAGT